AATACATATATATGTATTTTTCAATTTTTAAAATCTGGTATTTAAAAAAATGAATTTATTTGTCCAAAAATATCCCAAGCAAATTACAACTTTGAAGATATTAAAATCATGCTTTAAAAAGTATTAAGAAGTTCATGATAGAATTATTTTTAAAAAATAGACCACAGCTCTGTTCACTAAACTAGGCATCTTAAAAAAAAGACAAAATAAAAACATTATGATATAAATAACCATTGATAAAACTTTGGTGTTATGTCTTTCCATATTTCCAATGCACACACACATATTTATAACATGCATTAAAAAGTCATACCATAATATTTTGTGACTATTTAAAATTCATAATGTATCAAATATATCTCCATATGTCAATCCACACAGAATTACATTTTAATGACTGAATTATATTCCATTTTATTGACTGTTACTGGGAATTTAGGAATTTTCCAGTTTTTCACTAGGGCATGAAACTGAGGTGAATATTGTTACTTATGCATGCTTATATAAAAAATCCTTTTATAATATCTCAGTTTAAAATTGTTAGCTTTTAAATATTTAAAGGTTATAAATATTCCAGCTTTGGACATTTATTGCTTAACTTTCCCAAGTTTTTTTTTGGTTTTTGTTTTTAGACAGGGTCTTACTCTGTCACCCAGGCTGGAGTGCAGTGGTGCAATCACGGCTCACTGCAGCCTCAACCCCACTGCAGCTCAAGTGATCCTCGTACCCCAGCATCTCTAGTGGCTGGGACAGATTCATGCTACCATGGGCAATTTTTTTTTTTGGTAGAGATGGGGTTTTGCCATGTTGTCTAGGCTGGTTTGAAACTCCTGAGCTCAAGCAATCGACTCATCTCAGCCTCCTAAAGTGCTTGGATTAGAGATGTGAGCCAGCATATCCACCCAGTAAGTTTGTACTAATTTATGCTTCCATTGGTAGTCTAAAGCAAGTATACCACACACTCACCAATACTTGGTCAACTCATCCCTTTTCATATTATAATATATAATGGAACAAAATATGAACACTAGCTCTACAAAAAATAAACTAAGCTTGTGTAGTGAATGGGGTGGTGGTGAGTGGGATGAGGGAAGAGAGGAGAGGGACTAGGAGAGGGACATAATATAAATAACATTAAACTGCTGTAGTCCTAAGTCTTAGTTTCTGCACACCTGTTATGGTGGAACATTTTCCTATACCTAGAAGAAAAATTAATTCCATGCATTTTTACTGTAATGGAGTCTCATGTTACTCAGGCTGGTCTCAAACTCCTGGGCTCAAACAATCCTCCCACCTCAGCCTCCAGAGTAGATAGGACTATAGGCACAACCCACTGCACCCAGCTCCTTGCAACTTTTACCTCACAATCACTTAAATAGCTTTTAAGTTAAACTTCCACTAGAATGCTAAGTAAAAGAAAAGGCACAAAATTTGTTGAAGAACCGTAAATGTTTAACTGAACACCTACACTGGGCCATGTAGTAAGAGTAAAACAATGAAAAATTTGGAAAAAGTTCCCACCTTATCAAAACTTACAGTGTAGAGGGCACAATACACAAACAGGCAATACAGTGTGAAAGTGTGACAAGTATTGTTAAAGCAGATGAAGGATACAATACCTAAAGGATAAACAGGACAAGTTAAGTTAGGGAGATGGTGAAGATAAAGGGAATAATAAGAGATGAGGCCTGAAAAGGCAAGTAAGAGTTTGAGCAAGGTCTTGTAAAAAGATTTTATCTTAATTGGAGAAAAATGCCAGATGATGATTAAAAGTGAAATGTTATATGATCAGGTTAGTACGTTAGATGGATCACCCTGGGAAGTGTAGAGAACAGTTGATATAAACAATATTACTGATTGCAGTATTGTTATAAAAACTCTGGAGGCAAATGGATTATATTATGGTACGAGCATATAATCAAATGCTAAGCAGCTATTACAAATGAAATAGAACTACATGCACTGACACACAAAGATGTTTAAAAAGATGTCAGATAGGCTGGGGATGATGGCCTCATGTTTGTAATCCCAGCAACTTGCGAGCGTGAGGTGGGCGGATCACCTGAGGTCGGGAGTTTGAGACCAGCCTGACCAAAATCGAGAAACCCCATCTCTACTACAAATACAAAATTAGCCAGGAGTGATGGCACATACCTGTAATCCCAGCTACTTGGGAAGCTGAGGCAGAAGAATCGCTTGAACCTGGGAGGCAGAGGTTGCCGTGAGCCGAGACCGTGCCATTGCACTCCAGCAGGGAAACAAGAGTGAAACTCCTTCTCAAAAAAAAAAAAAAAAAAAAAAAAGATGTGGGATAAAAGGTATAACTCAATTTTTATAAAATGAAAAAGTTTGTATGTACATAGTCTGATGGAATGCACATTCACCTACAATATTAATTTTTTAAGGCAGCAGAATCTGGGGTTTCCCTTCTGTGTAGGGCAGAAGTTTACATTGTTTTCTTCTATGCATGTATTAGTTTTATAATTAAAAAACAAAGTTTTTTTTTTTTTTAATAGGATACCATGGCAGCTGCATAAAAAACATACTAAAGCAAAGTACGATTCAAGTCAGAGAAACCAGTTAGGAGGCTATTGCAATAAAATCCAGGTGAGATGCCGGGCGAGACCGTGCCTGAGTCTACCTGCTGGTGTACAGGATGAGTATTCCTTATCCAAAACGCTAGGACCAGAAGTGTTTTGAATTTTGAAATATTTCCATTATACCTACCAGTTGAGCATCACAAATCTGAAAATCCAAAATTTTAAATGCTCCAACGGGCATTTCTTTTGAAAGTCACATCGGCGCACAAATAGTTTCAAGTTTTGGAGCACGCTGAATTTCAGATGTTCAGATTTAGATGCTCAATCTGTTCCAAGATCACTGGGCCAAAATTAGAATGAAATTCCAGTCCCAACCAACCAAAGTACAATCCCTTGCTGAGTACTCCTCAAGATGATCTTACCCAAGAACCACATGCAGTTGGGACCATTTTCTTGAGACAGAGTCTTGCTCTATCGCCCAGGCTGGAGTGCAGTGGCGTGATCTTGGCTCACCGCAAGCTAAGTACCCATCATCTTCTTACAGACTGCTGGGATCGAACCTATGCTCCCTTTAAATTTTGTTTTCACTGGTCATGGCCCTGGTCTGATCTTTTTTCCTATCAATACTGTCATAACAATCTTCTGTATTTCTCAGGCCAAAGCCACAAACCCTAAACCCCTGCCCTTCTTGAGACTCTTTCATGGTGCCCTCTGAGATTCGCCTAATAAACTCCCTTAATATCCTCAACTATTTCCCTGAACATTTCCTTTCATTAAACTTGACTGTTCTCTGGGGAGCAAAAAACCCCTGACAACAATCACATCACAAGGGAGCTTATTCCCATGTATTCCACATATCCACAGGCTGGAAGTGGGACCAGTATCTTCCTTGCTCCCTAACACTGCTTCTAACCATTGCGGCCTGGTAAAAACCACTCCTTCCTTTCAGGCTCATACCATCTAATTATACCACATTCTACCTCTCTTCCTGGCTATCTTTTATTTTTATTTATTTATTTATTTATTTGAGATAGTCTCGCTCTGTCGCCCAGGCTGGAGTGCAGTGGCGCAATCTTGGCTCACTGCAAGCTCCACCTCCTGGGTTCATGCCATTCTCCTGCCTCAGCCTCCCGAGTAGCTGGGATTACCAGTGCCCGCCACCACGCCTGGCTAATTTTTTGTATTTTTAGTAGAGATGGGTTTCACCGTGGTAGCCAGGATGGTCTCGATCTCCTGACCTCATGATCCACCCGCCTCGGCCTCCCAAAGTGGTAGGATTACAGGCGTGAGCCACCGCGCCTGGTCTTATCTTTTATTTAAATGACCTCTCTTCATTCATGTAGACTTTACTACTTGCTTTGCTGTCTTCTCCACTGATGGCTCTACTGATAACTTGGAAGGACTTTCAAATATATAGAGATCTTCTTCACTAAAACCTCCTTGCAGTATTTCATCCACCTTCCTCTTAGCAGCTAATCTTACCATGAAACCTATGATCATCTATCTATATTTTATTGGCCAGGAACAGTAGAAATGGCATCTCTTGGCTACAAAGGGGTTGGGGTAAGTAGTTTTGTAGCTAAACACAATACTACTGTTAGCAAAACTGAAGATCTATTCATAAAGAATAAAAAATATATATATTTAGTTAGTACTTAGCAGTGGCTGCCACACAGTAGTTCTTAGGAAACACAAAATAGCATTATATAGTTCACATATTCTGACCACTGCTCAGTGAACTTAGGTGTACGGAAACAAACAGGTAATTTAAACCAACCCACCCATTTTTCTAGTCCTGAGAGAATGGTGGAAGTATCCCTCTGCCTCATGGCAAACACCAATCCTTTTGTTTGTGCTCTAAACAGCGACACCCCATTCTCAGAAGCTAATATTAAACTTTACTAAGCTGCATATTAAACCTCACCATACTACATTCATCACATTAGAATTCAAATATGTTCTAGTTTTTCATATTTTAAACATATTATCTTTACTCCAAATCTCTCTCCAGCTACTACCCTTTCTCCTATTATTCAAACTTGTCTACATCCAGTCTTTACTTCTTTGCCCTTCATTGATTCCTAAAGTCAGCCCAATCTAGCAACCGTCTTCAATGTACCACTGTTATTTTGAACTGCAATCACAAATCATCTTCCCATGGCTGTATGTGTTTACCTTTTTAGACTTCATCTAATTTGATCCCTAACACTAAAAACAGTTACCTTCACCTTTTTTTTTTTTTTTTTTTTGAGACGAAGTCCTGCTCTGTCACCATGCTGGAGTGCAGTGGTGAGATCTCATCTCACTGCAACCTCAGCCTCCCGGGTTCAAGTGATTCTCCTGCCTCTCAGCCTCCTGAGTAGCTGGGACTACAGGTGTATGCCACCACACCCAGCCAATTTTTGTATTTTAGTAGAAACAGGGTTTCACCATGTTGGCCAGGATAGTCTTGATCTCCTGATCTTATGATCTGCCCGCCTCAGCCTCTCAAAGTGCCAAGATTGCATGCGTGAACCACCATGCCTGGCCAACTTCACTTTCCTTTTTGAAACTCGTTTGTCTTGGTTCAGTGAAACTCCACTCTTCTTGTTTTCTTATCTCTCTACTATGGTTCCTTTAAATGTACGTCTTCAGGGTAGGTGGCAGACATTCTCTTTTCATTCTTATTCACCTTCACAAAACCTGTTACAGTCTCTTTACTGATGTCACTAAAATTTGTATCTCTATCTAGACACCTCCTCAGTTCTAGAATTGCGTACCAACCTCTTCATCTGGATGTCTCACCATCCTCTGAGGCTAACATGAATAGCTACAACAGCAGCCACTGCCTTCTTTCTTCCACCGTATGCCGCTCCTTCTGTATTTTGTTAGAACTAATCTGGTATCTGCAAGACCAAGCAACAAAATCTCATGCTTTATTTAGCATTTAAAATTTGTAACTTCCCCTCGATCTGAAAACTTTCTGTAGTTCCAACGCTGAAATGTTGGGATACTCTTTTTGCTGCTCTAAACACTTGCTTTCAGTGACCTTGGCTCTATCTTCATCTGCTGCTTAAGCATAAAAGTTCTGTCAACATTCCTTTTCCATATTTTTTTTCTATGTTCCTCTTCAAATGTGTACATCCAACATAAAACATTTAACTCTATATACCTCTGTTTTTCTACAATACCGTGACTGTGTTGACTGTATTTATGTAGTGCTTTAAAAAAAATCAGTAAAAGCCAGGCATGGTGACTCATGCCTGTAATCCTAGCACTTTGGGAGGCAAAGGCAGGAGGACTGCTTCAGCCCAGGAGTTTGAGAACAGCCTGAGCAATGTAGGAAGAGCCTGTCTCTACAAAATATATATATTTAAAATTAGCCAGGCATGGTGGCATGCATTTGTGATCCCAACTACTGAGGAGACTGTGGTGGATCACCTGAGCCCAGGAGGTCGAGGCTGCAATGAGCCATGACCACACCACTGCACTCCAGCCTGAGAGACAGAGACTCTGTCTGAAAAACTGGAAAAAAAAAAAAATTCAATAAACATATTTTTCTCAGCCTGGCAAGGTGGCTCATGCCTGTAATGCTAACACTTTGGGAGGCTGAGGTGGGTGGAACACCTGAGGTCAGCAGTCTGAGACCATCCTGGCCAACATGGTTAAACCCCGTCTCTATTAAAAATGCTAAAATTAGCCAGGCGTGGTGGTGGGCACCTGTAATGCCAGCTACTCAAGAGGCTGAGGCAGGAGAATCACTTGAATCTGGGAGGTGGGGGCTGCAGTGAGCTGAGATTGTGCCACTGCACTCCAGCCTGGGCAACAGAGTGAGACTCCATCTCAAACAAACAAACAAAAAACTTTTTCTCACAGAGAAACATATCCAAATACAAGCAGTGCAGGGCTGGCACAACTATTTAAAGATTTCTTTGAGGAACAGGGATCTCTTTCTTCTACTTCATCCCTTGGCCACAGTTGTCATTTTCATGGTCACAAGATAGCTCTTTCAGCAGCTTCAGGAACGGCCAAGTCATAGGGACAAAGATGAAGTGCAAAAAGTAGAGGTCAAGATAGATAGTTTTGTTCTCAGTGATATGTCTATTTTTGAATCAGCAGGAATGAATGATATGGCTACCCTTAGCTACAAGAAGTCAAAGAGTTCTATAACCACATACCTTATTGTTCTTGGCCAGATGGAATTCATTAGTAAGGAAAGATGAGCTCAATGTTTGGTTGGCTGCTAGCAATAGCAGCCTCACTGGGCCAGAAAACAACTTTCATAAAAACACCAACAAAGCAGTAAAATATAGTCCGGACTCTTTGAACACAATGGAATTAACCCAGAAACCAACAATAAAAAGATAACTGAAAATATACATACCTCACATATTAAAAATACCTAATTCCAAACAGCCATGGATCAAAAAGTTGTAATTAGTATTTATAGAACAAAATGTTATATTACGAAAGAGCCCTTTATAACCTTAAATGGTTATTTTAGAGAACAAAGACTGAGACAAGGAGCTTGCAATCCACCTTAAGCCAATGAAAACAGCAATTCTACATTCGTTAACACTTACACAGTTTCTCTCTCAGTATGAATTCTCTTGTGTATAATAAGTGAAGAGCTCTGACTGAAGGCTTTTCCACATTGAATGCATTCATAGGGTTTCTCTCCAGTGTGAATTCTCACATGCCTCCTAAGGGAAGAGGAAACACTGAAGGCTTTCCTACATTCCTTACATTCATAGGGTTTCTCTCCAGTGTGAGTTCTTACATGCATTCTAAGGGATGAGAGCCCACTGAAAACTTTCCCACAGTCACTGCATTCATAAAGATTCTCTCCAGTGTGAATTTTCTTATGAACTTTAAGGTGAGAGCTCGTGTTGAAGGCTTTTCCACACTCACTGCATTCATAGAGTTTTTCTCCAGTGTGTATTCTCTTGTGCACTATAAGGTAAGAGCTTGTGCCGAAGGATTTTCCACACTGATTACATTCATAAGGTTTCTCTCCAGTGTGAGTTCTCATGTGAGCCTTAAGGGATGTTTTTTGACTGAAAGCTTTTCCACACTGATTACATTCATAGGGTTTCTCTCCAGTGTGAGTTCTTATATGTCTCCTTAAGGTTGAGGAATCACTGAATACTTTACCACATTCTTTACATTCATATTGTTTCTCACCCATGTGACTTTTCTTGTGTAAAGTAAGATTAGAAATCCTTTTGAAGGCTTTTCCACATTGATTACATTCATGTTTCTTTTCAGTATGAGTTTGTCCTTGTTTCTTAAGGGATGATTGATGACACAGGGTTTCATTTTTATTACATTCACAGGAATTCTGTGCCATATGCAAATTGTTAGGTATGTGAAACATATTATGTGTGAAGTGCATTCCATGTTTAGAATATGTGTACTCTTTTTGTACTGTCTGATTTCTCTGAAGATGCCATATAGTTGTATCACATTCATGACTTTCATAGAGCTTCTCACTTACAGAGTTTTTCACATAATTGTTTATGATTGAATTGTGTTTCAAACATCCAATCTCTGAGTAACATTTTTGGCAATGTTTACTGGCGAAAATGCTCTGTGAAAAAATAAGTTTTGATCTAAGTTTAGAGGTTTCCTCTAATTCATGATCGTCACGGAATAGCTCCTGAGATACTGTTTTCTTTGGGGCATATGTCACTAGCCTCCAATGTTCCCCTGGAATCTTACACTGTTTTCTGATCTTATGGAATTCCCAGTCTTCTTTTAATGTGGAGGACCAATTATGCATTGCGAATTTTATCATTTTCACTGCACTGGATGGCTCCTCCCATAAAATTTTCTGCACAGTTGATTCTTTGGTTTTAGGTAGAATCTTCTGGTCTGGACAGATGCCTCGGGGAATTCTCTTTTCCATATTCCTTATCTCTTCTTGATCCAATGGGGAGATCACAGTAAGCTTGCACAATTGGTATTCCACGGAGGTGAGATTTCTATAGTTTTCCAACATCACATCTCTGTACAGACTTCTTTGAGCAGAATCCAGCATCATCCACTCGTCCTGAGTGAACTCCACAGCTACATCTTTGAAAGTCATTGGTTCCTGTAACCAGGTTGTCAGAAATATAGCAATCATCCTTTCCTCTTCAGCATTTCTCAGATGGAAATGGGCAGAGTCCTGTTTAGTGAAAGCCCATGTGGAAGATAGGTCCATAACTGCCATTTTTATGAGTACATAAGCCTGCATAGTAGAGTGGAGAGTTTCTTGTTTGAGCATTCTTGAAGATGCTTCTGTTCTTGTTTCTCCAGTCCAGTCACAGGAGGGATGCATTTCACCCAAAGTCCTCCCTGTAGCCAAAGAAGCAGGTTCAGGTAAGAGAGCTGGAAACAGGGACCCATTTGGGGAAAGGTGAATACAAAATTGTAGACCCTCCCCGTTACATCCCAGCAAGGTCTAATGAGCTCAAAATCTTTACTGGGATTTGTACTGACATGCAATATAATGATCCTTACCCACTTCAAGAAATACCATCCTGATTCTTTGTACTGGCTTCTCCTTCAGACCACTTTGAGCTCTGGGTGGATGGGGCATGAGTTATTTTAAGAAATTAAAACTGAAGAGAACCAACCAGTAAAAACACATGGCTGTCAAATTAAATTTAATGTACTACTTGCTACTTTTTAAAGTTAACTTTTTGGGACAGAAAAATCATTTCCCTGTGAAACACACCTGTTATATATAAATTTCTTCTGTAACTTGTTTACAAGAATAACCTTACAGGACTGACAATTTGGCTGCTACCCTACCAAGGAATTTTATTGAAGTTAAAGGTGTATATGTGACTTTGAAACACATGTTCATTTCAATGAGAACATATGGACACAGAGTGGGGAACACACATTGGGACCTGTCGGGGGAGGGCAGCAAGGAGAGCATTAGGAAAAAGAGCTAATGCATGCCGGGCTTAATACTTAGGTGATGGGTTGATAGGTACAGCATATGTTACCTATGTAACAAACCTGCACATCCTGTGCATGTACCCTGGAACTTAAAAGAAACAGATGTTCATTTGATTACTTCTAGTTTAACCTCCCTCCCTAAAGTCCATATTGTCATCTATGATAGTTTATTCTATCTAACACTTGAATGGGGTCAAGTGACAAAGGAAGAACCATGAACTGCATTCCCAAGTTTGGAGTGAGGCACTAACTATTAATATTAGATACTATACTCTCCTGGATAATTTTTATAATGAATTTAATATAAATAACAAAATAACATATAGTGTAAATACAAAAGATACATGCTTGGGGATTTTAAGAATCACGACAAATCACGAAACAATTTATTACACTAATATTTTTAAAGTTCTCACTTTTTGAAGACTAGGTAGTTAACCATCAAATGCAAGTCTTCTCTGTCAATACTGTACATCAATAGAACTCAGTTTTAATGGACAAAATTATAGAATTGACATTTTTATTTAGAGAAAGATCTTTGACAGGTAGATTCTTTGTCCCTAAACCAGAAGTGTATATAGGTCTGTCACTTTAGGGAAACTCATTTACAAATAGATTTTATCTGATTTGTTTACTGTATTCCTAGTACCTAGAAGAGTCCTCAGTCCGTGGCAGAACTCAACAATTTGAGTAAACCAAATGAACCTATGATAATTAAGGTTTTGTGCATGGGGGTATTTTTTCCATACCCACACCCTTCTTTCAAGAAGGAAAAGGAAATCGTCAGGCTTCTGGGTTGGGTACAGGGGCTAATGCCTGTAATCCCAGCACTCTGGGAGGCCACCACAGATGATTGCTTGAGTCCTGGGATTTGAGACCAGACTGGCTAACATGGTGGGACTCTAGGTCTCTACAAAAAATTTAAATATTAGCCAACCATGGTGGCATGTGCCTGAAGCTGCAGCTACTCGGCAGGCTGAGGTGGGAGGATCACTTGAGTCCAGGAGGTCGAGACTGCAGTAAACCATGTTCATGCTACCACACTCCAGCCTGGGCAACAGGGTGAAATCCTCTGCTTGAAAACGAAAACAAAAACAAAAACACACACAAACAACAACAACAACAACAACAAAGAAAGTTAGGCTTCCTCTTCAAGAAAGAAAATATGTTTGCCCTGTAGTAAAAGATGTTAAGAATTGTATTGCAGGTTTAACCCTTCATTCCTCATAGTTTTATTCTTTTCTAGTTATAGGACTAATTACAAACACTAAACAACTTTACTAAACAACAGGAAAAAATATTTGAATAAATGTTGAGATTCACTAGGTGAATCACCGTAGGATTTTGATTAATCTATGTATTTAACAGGGATTTCCTGAAATGTAGTTTTTAAAGTTTTATAGAAAATTAAAGATATATAAAAAAGTCAAATACTTTAAAATGCCTTACCCTATTACATTTCAAAATACATTATAAATCTCTAGTAAGTAAAACAATGATATTAGGGCAATAATAGAAAACAAAACAGTATCTTCAGAAACAGATTCATGTGTAGCTAGACATTTAGTATATAACAAAGATGTCACTTTAAATCGGTGGGGGGAAGGATTAACTATTTAATAAATGATATCAAGACAAATGGCTTTCTGTTTGGAAAAAAACACACCCCTCACATTCACAAATTCCAGATGGATTAAAGATGTGCATATGTGTTGAACAGGAATTCCAGAAGAGGGAACAAAAAGGAAATAGAAAAGAAGCAATGTGAGATATAATGATTGTTTTTACTCCAAGCTGAAAGAAGGATACATAAGTCCTTGATCTGAAAGCCTGTATACCATGTGCCATGTAGAATACATTTTAAAAATATACCAGCTACCAGCTACACTGAAGGTAAACTACAATATCAAGAATAATGTGTAAAACTTTAAAGTTACTGAAGAAAAAAGGCTAATTATATACAAGGGAATATCCATTATACTGACTACAGAATTCTCAGTTGCAAAGATAGAGGCCAAGAAGGCAATACAATAGTATCTTCAAAGTACTAAAGGAAAACAACAACAACCTAGAATTCAATTGTATGCTAAAGACTGAGAGCAATATAAAAGGCATCTATGTGGGTGTGTGTGTTTACCACTCAAGATAGTTCCTGAAGGAACTACTAAAAGGATGTAAGCTGAACTCAGAAGAAAGCAGTGGGGTGGAGGAATAAAACAAAAGCAAAGGAGGAATTCAGAGGAAACAATGTAAGAAACAGAAAACAACAAACTTCAAAGCAACAACAGCATATTCAAAAGAGCAGACAGCAAGAGAAACTGGAATTAAAACAACATGGAGACATAATTTTTCTATGGAAAAACCATAGAGACTTCAAATTGTATAAACGTTATCTGGACCATGAGTCAAAGAAATAAATTTTAAAAATTCATGAGAAAACAGAAAAATCTGAACACTGCCTATATATTTATTATTTATTTTTTAGAGACAGAGTCTCACTATATTGGCCAGGCTAACCTTGAAATCCTGGCTTAAGTGATCCTCCACCTTAGCCTCTTAGCCTCCTGAATGGCTGGGACTACAGGCATACCCTCCCACCCCCTGGCTTTTGCCTATAAATTTGATATAAAGGAATTACAAATTTTGCAGGTGTGAGAATATCCTACTTAAGAAGGAGTACTTATCAGAGATACATTTTGAGCTATTTATAAATAATATATAATGTCGAAGATTTGCTTCAAAATAGAACGATGGGGCCTTTTTCACAAGATGGTGCTAATGGCGAAGAAGGAAACTCCTGCCTCTCCTAAGGCTAAAACCAAAGTAAAGGCTTTGAAGGCCAAAAAGGCAGTGGTGAAAGGCATCCACAGCAACAACAAAAAAAAGAAGATCCACATGTCACTCACCTTCTAGCAGCCCAAGAACTGAGACTCTGGAGGCAGCCCACGTATCTTCAGAAGAGCACCCTCAGGAGAAACAACATTGACCACTGTGCTATCATCAAATTCCTACTGAGTCTGCCATGAATAAGATAGAAGGTAACACACTTGTGCTCATTGTGGATCTTAAAGTCAACAACAAGCCTTCCTCACAGGCTTGTGAAGAAGCTCTATGACACTGATGTGGCCAAGGCCAACACCTTGATCAAGCCTGATGGAAAGAAGAAAGCATATGTTTGACTGGCTCCTGGTTACCATGCTCTGGATGTTGCCAACAAAATTGAATAATCTAAACTGAGTCCTGCTGGCTAATGCTAAATATGTATGTCTTCTCATCAGGAAACAACAAAATAGGATGATTGGTACACTATACTATTATACTTGTATATGTGTTTGAAAATTTCGTAATTTGAAAAATAATCAGAGATACTTCCTCTATGAAATAAGAATAGAACTCTATGGATTTTTTTTTAATTTCCCAGGAAATTAAAAATTATAATGTAAAAACTCCCCCAAAAGGTACAAGGGTTAAAAGATAAACTTAGGGCTGGGCGTAGTGGCTCATGCCTGTAATCACAGTACTTTGGGAGGCCGAGGCAGGCGGATCACGAGGTCAGGAGATCGAGACCATACTGGCTACTGTGAAAGCCCGTCTCTACTAAAAATATAAAAAATTAACCGGGCGTGGTGGCGGGCGCCTGTAGTCCCAGCTAAGTGGGAGTGTAAGGCAGAATGGCGTGAACCCAGGAGGTGGAGCTTGCAGTGAGCAGAGATTGCGCCACTGCACTCCAGCCTGGGCGACAAAGCGAGACTCTTGTCTCAAACAAAAAAAAAAAAAAAGAAAAAAGATAAACTTAAGGAACTTTTCTAGAAAGCTGATCTTGGCTGAACACAGTGGCTCACTCCTGTAATCCCAGCACTTTGGGAGCCAAGGTGGGCGAATCACTTGAGGTCAGAAGTCCAAGACCAGCCTGGCCAACATAGTGACACTCTGTCCCAGCTAAAAATACAACAACAAAGAAGGCTGGATGTGTTGGTGCACACCTGTAATCCCAGCTACTCGGGAGGCTGAAGCAGGAGAATTGCTTGAACCCAAGAGGTAGAGGCTTCAGTGAGCCAAGATGTGCCACTGCACTCCAGCCTGCACAACACAGTGAGACTCTGTCTCAATAAATAAATGAATAAAGCTGATCTAAAAGAACAAGAGTAAGTGAAAAAAAGACAACTATATGAGCAATTTTAAGGTCCAACCCCAGATTACTCAGAGTTCCAGAAAGAAAAAAAGGGAGGAAGAAACAAATATGGGAAAACTTTTTTTTTTTTTTGAGACAGTCACTCAAGCTGGAGTGCAGAGGCGCAATCTCAGCTCATTGAAACCTCCGCCTCCCAGGTTTAAGCAATTCTCTGCCTCAACCTCCCAAGTAGCTGGGATTACAGGTGCCGGCCACCACGCCCGGCTAATTTTTGTGTTTTTAGTAGTAGAGACGAGGTTTCACCATCTCGGCCAGCCTGGTCTTGAACTCCTGACTTCATGATCCACCCACTTCGGCCTCCCAAAGTGCTGGGATTACAGACGTGAGCCACAGTGCCCAGCCAGAAACTTCTTATTCCTTAAAAAAACACAGTATCTAAGAATTTATCCATCAAAGCAAGTAATTTCTTTAAATATTAGAACACACATCATCATGAAATCTTTGAATACCAAAGAGCTCCAAGAGATGACAAACAGATTACACATAAAGCAACATTAGCAGGTATGAAACAGGACTTCTCAACAGTAACAGTAACACTGCTCCATTTCCTATCGAGCTTCACTGGCTTTCAAAATTCTAATGGAAAGTAACTTCCTATTGAGATTTGTATACTAGGTGAAAACACCACACAAATGTGAGGACAAAGTAACTTCTATTCATTTCTTTAATATATGTAGATAATATGGACCCTTTTTCAAGGCAGTAAGATTACAATCCAGCAAACAGGAATAGAAGTGCTTTATAGGAAACAGGAGATCTAACACAGAGGTGAGAGGAGGAAATTGATGAGGGTAAAAGGGAAGCCCAGTGGTATGCCAGTGTGCTGCATGCCTACAGAGTAACTGATCAATCTACATTGTAGGGGGATGTCCAGAAAAGGAGAAAAGTGGTTAGACTGTATGACAGATTAGCCCTTGAGGAAAATGGAACCAAAAGACATTTTACATAGATTTAAGAAAACCTAAGCAAATGAATAAAAAAGGCAGTCATTATAAACAAGAAAGGTAAACCTTGTACAAGAAAGAAACATATTATGGTTCAGTACTACAGACTAGTCATCAAATGAAAACACTGAACATATTTATCCAAAATTTGTGGGAGAACTACATTATAATATTTGTAAAATAATTAAATTGTGATTTAAGGATGTGGAAAGAAGGCAGCCAAAGTTCTTATTTAAAAATAATGTCTGAAATCGGTGAATAAAAAAATACTGAGAGGAGTTCAAAGCCAGAATTGCTTAAATATTTTCAAGTGGTTGCCACTGGGAAGAGATGGGGTTAAGGTGTTTCTTGTTTTTATTATGACTCTTTCAACATATTCAGCTCTTAAAAATGTACACATTTCTTGGAGCACAAATAGAAATAAATTAATTACCCAGTCAAATCAAGAAGCAGATGGCCAGGTGTGGTGGCTCATGCCTGTAATCCTAGCACTTCGGGAGGCCAAAGCGGGCGGACTGCCTGAGCTCAAGAGTTTGAGACCAGCCTGGGCAACACGGTGAAACCCCGTTTCTACTGAAAAATACAAAAAATTAACCGGGCATGGCAGCGTGCGCCTGTGATCCCAGCTATTGCGGAGGCTGAGGCAGGAGAATGGCTTGAACCTGGGATGCGGAAATTGCAGTGAGCCGAGATCCTGCCATTGCATTCCAGCCTGGGCGACAGAGAGAGACTCTGTCTCAAAAACAAACAAACAAAAACAAAAATTGGCCGGATCAGCCGGGCTTGATGGGGCGTGAGGTAAAATTGTTTGAATCCGGGTGGCGGAGGCTACAGTGAGCCGAGATCATGCCACTGCCCTCCAGCCTGGAGACAGAGTGAAACTCTGTCTCGAAAAAAAAAAAAAAAGTTGGAAAACAGCAACAAAGTACAAGAAAATTTTAAAATTAAGAGCAAAACTTACTGTAACAGGACCCCCCCCGCCAAAAAAGACCAAAACAACAAAAAAACCAAAACCAAATCTACATTTTTGAAAAGACTAATGCACACATATACCTTATAGGAGTAATCAAGAAAAAAAGAACACCTAGATAATTAGGTTCAAAAAAGAAAAAAATAACAATTACAGCAGTTATTTTAAAATATTAAAAAGTAGTGATTTTAAAAATCACCACAGAAATTACTTACAGTGATAAAATAGCATGGGCAATTTTATGCCAATAAATTTGAAAAATTACATTAAAAACAATTATCTAGAAAAAGGTATCTAAAACAGAATACAAACTAAAATACCTAATCAATGAGACTTTTAAAAAACTGAGTCAGGACCAGGTGCGGTGGCTCACTCTTGTAATCCCAGCGCTTTGGGAGGCTGGCAGATCACCTGAGATCGGGAGTTCAAGACCAGCCTGACCAACACGGAGAAACCCCCGTCTCCACTAAAAATACAGAATTAGCCACGGCGTGGTGGCTTATGCCTGTAATCCCAGCGACTCCGGAGGCTGAGGCAGGAGATTCACTTGAACCTGGAAGGCGGAGCTTGCGTGAGCCGAGATCGCGCCATTGCACTTCAGCCTGGGCAACAAAGAGCGAAACTCCGTCTCAAAACAAACAAAAATTGAGTCAGAAGTTAAACGCGTACTAAATAAGACCAAAGGTTCTGCATGCAAATTGTACCAAACTTTTGGAGGCGGGGCGGGCGGCGGTGGGGGGTGGTGACCTGTTTTACAGAATAGAAGAGACTGTGCTGTCCAAATTATTATGAAGTTTATAAAATCTTGTTAGTATAACGGGCAAGGAGGGTACACAAAAAGATTAAAATGCAATCTTGTGAGCATAAGTGAAGTCAAAGGGAGATAGCCAATTGAACACACCAGAGTATTAAGGAAATAAAACCACATCGCATTCAACCACAGTATAATGCAATAGGTGAAAAAAACTATGGCTGTAATTCAACCCATTATTAGATTTGGAGATTCAAGAGGCTGCTGGACAGGGAGGCGTGCACCCTCAGCCCTCCCGTGTTGCTTAGAGAAGGAGGCAAACGCGCGCCCCCGGCCTCCCGGCGCTCCCTGCGTGGCACACACAGCCAGCCCGGGACCCCTCCGCCCCTCGCGCCCCTGGTCCCCGCGCGCCACTGGCACCCGGTAAGGGGCCCCTCCTCCCTCAAGGGCCTCTCCCACCGCCGCCTCCCAGGCAGGCTCCCCGAGGCCCAAACTTCCGTGACGCGACGCCTGCACGCAGGAGAACTCAGCGGGCGAGGCAGAGCCCACGAGGGACGCGTCCCGGTTGAACAAGCCACCGCCCTGCACACTCACCCATCCTCGGCGCCCGCGGTCCCGCCTAAGGGGGACGGAAGGCCGAACTACGTTTCCCAGGAGCTTGTGCGCCGCCCCGCGGAAGGAGCGTGGTCCGTGCGTCACGAGCGCGCTCTCGGCGGAAGGCCCGTCACGGAAGTGTCCGTCACGGAGTGGCGGCTGGGGCGCCGGCGGGGAAACGCCGATTCTAGGATCCCGCGGCGCGCGGCTGACGGGCTGGGGGCGGGGTGCGGCCTGAACGCCAGGCTGGGGCGCGTGCGCCACGGTGTGTGTGAGGGGCGCGTCTGCGTGCGTGCGCGGCAGGGGCGGGCGCAGGACTAATGGGGCGGGGCGGGGCGGGGCGCGTGCGCGTGCGTGACGTCAGGCCACGGGGAGGTGGCGCCGTAGTGCCGGGCCGGCCTCAGACACCGCTCTGACGCCGCTGCCCGCGCTGCGCTGGGAATGGAGTCGCGTTCTCTGTTTTGCCGTTGCTGCTGCCTTTGTGACGAGATCGCTTTCTCCCATCGAACCTTCTAGTTGCTTATTGCAGGTATACACGAAAGTGCTGAATTTTGTGTTTGCATCGTAATGAGACGCGTGTTGAACCCTTTAGTAATGTAGCAGTGTATTAGCTTCGTATTTCTAGGTAGACGGTAATTTTGTCAATGAAAAATTTTAACGGTGATAGTCACCCCTTGCCTGAGTCACTCTCCCTCGCGCGGCCCAGGCGTTCACGGCGGACGTTCTTGTTCTGTGGAGAATAACGGCTGCGCCTGGAGATTGACGCAGAGTGGGCGGCGGTGGTAGTAAGTTTGAGCCAGATATTTTGAGTAATACAAAATAAGATTTCTTCTAGTCTAACTTCCATTTTTCCCCCAGCTGGGATAGATGTTTAAAATTTTACCAATGGCCTTTCTAGCGTCTCTTGAAATAGTGACGCCAATTTGTGTGTGGTCTTTTAAAAACAAATCCTGCGTCTCTAGCTCCTAGCTTCCTCATCTTCAATTTTGTTTTGTTTTTTAATCAAATAGATTAACTAGAGGTGTGTTTGTTTAATCTACTTTATTTGTTTTCAGAAACAGATGGTAAGTTTACTATATTTTTATTTTCCCTTGACACTAGA